AGTGACCTCGTTGGCGATAAAGGGGGCCACTCTGCTGCTCGGCAAGGTGGCAATAATCCCCATCATCATCGTGGCACTGGCCTACTACAACTACGATCTAATGGACCCGGAGAATTATCCGAAAGTGACGAAGAACATAAGGGAGGAGTATGATTTCGTGGTGATCGGCGGTGGATCGGCCGGCAGCGTGGTTGTCAACCGGTTGACGGAGAATCCAGCGTGGAGCGTGTTGCTGCTGGAGGCTGGAGGACACGAGACCGAGATCACCGACGTACCTATACTATCTCTTTACTTGCACAAGAGCAAGGTGGATTGGAAGTACAGGACGCAGCCGCAGGATTCCGCTTGTCAGGCGATGGTCGATCGACGATGCTGCTGGACCAGGGGGAAGGTGAGAGAGAAGTATCACATGTGACAGAATTACTTTCGAAGACTTGACCGCAATTTTTCAGTTCACTTAGGCGTCGAATTGGTGAATGAATATAATTAATTTCACATCTGCACGTATCTGATGTATATTAAACAAATGCAGCAATCTATCCAATCTGTGTTTTCTCTGAACCTGAGTCGCGATACTCGTGTGATCCAGGTTTTGGGAGGTTCGAGCGTGCTTAACACGATGCTGTACATTCGTGGGAATCGACGAGACTTCGACCAGTGGGAGAGCTTTGGAAACCCTGGCTGGGGTTACGAGGACGTTCTGCCTTATTTCAAAAAGTCGCAAGACCAACGGAATCCCTATCTGGCTCGCAACACTAAATACCACGGCACTGGTAAGACTGACGTTTCCTGGACAGTTTGAAAAATTTAGAAAAACCAGGCACTCGCTAATGTTTCACGAGATCGTTTTTCAAGGTGGTTACCTAACGATCCAAGACTCGCCGTACAACACACCGTTGGGCATAGCATTCCTCCAGGCTGGCGAGGAGATGGGCTACGACATCGTGGACGTGAATGGCCAGCAACAAACAGGCTTCGCGTTGTATCAATACACAATGCGACGAGGGACCCGGTGCAGCACCGCCAAAGCTTTCGTCAGGCCGATCCAATTGCGGAGAAATTTCCATCTGTCTCTTTGGAGCCACGTGACCAAGGTGCTGATCAATCCAGCTACGAGGAGAGCCTACGGCGTCGAATTCATCAGAGACGGGCGCAAACACGTGGTGCACGCCAGGAAGGAGGTGATCCTCTCAGCAGGTAACAATAATTAATAATTAATTGAAAAGTTAACGCAACAAAATCTATTTTGAATCTAGGTTGAATCTATCTCATTGCAATTACGTTTTGTGAATAATAATTTCTTTTTCAATGAAATGTACAAAAATGTTTCGCAATTAATTCCTTTTTTTTTACGTTTTGTCAGTTAATTACTGGCCATTTTAATAATAGTGTAACGAGGGAGGGGGGGGGGAAAGATAAAAATTGAATTGATAACCAATCGTTCAAAACAATGGAAAATTAATATTTCTCCAATGAAATTTCTTTGACAATTGATTTCGTTTTCGATGATTCATTTCCTACCGAGTGATCTTTTTCTCCAGAAAAAGTGTTTAAAAAAAGTGATTGACGATTAAATTCGATAATAGTTTAGGAATTACTTGTTATTTTGGATCCAAGACAAATTAAAAGTTAACATTCTAATGATACTGAAAACTATGAATATCATTTATAATGAAAATATCCATTATCACAAATTAATTGTTAATTTCATCAATGATTAATGCCATTAAAAGACACGAATCTCGTTTATAGTGAAAATGTCCAAACTGCCATTATAAATGAAATTCGTGTCAATAATTAATATCATTAAGTGGCAGGGATTCCATTTATAATGAAAATATCCATCATCACTGAAATTAATTATTAATTTCATCAATGATTAATATAGTTTTATAGTGAAAATGTCCATTGGAATAAACTATTAATTTCATTAATAATTAATATCACTGAGAAACATGCATTTCAATTATGATGAAAGTATCCTTAATAATAAAAAATATTAAATATAATTTAATATTTTTAAATACATAAATTTCAAAAATATTAAATTCAATAAATGGTCCTAACGTCACCACGGAAGAGAAGATATTATTTCATTTATAACAAAGATATTTGCCATTAAAAATTTCATTAACAATTAACATCATCATGGAAAAAAATATGAATTCCACTAATAATATCATTAAGAGATATGTACAATTTTATTCATAAATATTCATTAATAATATGTATAATAAAAATCATTAATTTCATTTATAATTAAGATCATGAAAAAAATATGAATTTCACTAATAACTAATGTCATTAAATAATATGTATAATGAAAGTATTCATCGTGATAAAATACTAATTTCATCAATAATTACCGAAATTTCAAAAAAAAAAAAAAAAAAAAAA